TGAGTGGTTCTTTAGATATCAGTGGAACAGCTAAAAATCAGCTAATTATCATGCAAATTAGGTAATTAATATGCATGGCTTTTTACCAAAACCTAATCAAATCTGCGCATTGGCCCAGAGCATCTATGCACCAAGTTTCATCAAAAACTGATGTATGGTTCTTGAGATATCAGTGGAACAGACGGACACACATACACACACACACACACACACACACACACACACATACAGACACACTAACCGCAAAGACTCCCTTTTTGTGTTTCGCACACGGGAGTCAAAAACTTTGATCACTTACATCAGAATCTTCATGTTTGCCAACACCAAGGCAATAAAAGGATTTGTTGTTGATAAGTATCTGGGTAGAAGTTGTTCTAATGGTCCTTATCCCAAATGGTAAACGGTACACATCACTAGTACCATCTGACGTGATGGACACCTTTGAAAAAAAAAAAAAAATACATAGAGAAATCCAGGAAGTCTGTTTTTACAAATTTTAAAACAATGCCCTTCCAGTCAATTGGCGCCTCTATTTTGTTTTTGTTGTTTCACAAATTATGAGAAGCTAAAACAGCTCATTCATTATAAAACATTATTAGAATGCTGTTAAATGTTAAGGCAATAGTTTTCTGGCAACAGACTGAAAATAGTTCAATTTTTGGGTCATTTCTATCTGACACTGATATCAAGTACCAGATATGACAATGACAGTTACAACACAACACTCTGATAAGTCGCCAGACAGAGCCCTAATAAGTTACCCTATTTGAATACCCACCTGTAGTATATACATATAAGCTGACACGTTACTCATTGTGTATGGCCACCAGAAATGAGCACTGGAGACAGACAGCTGACTTGACAAGTCATCTTTCTTACTGGCTACAATATTACCATCTTTATCTAAAATATTCACTACTGATGACACATTGTTTTTACCATTACCTAAGACTTTGACATCATAATTTACAAAACCTGTAAATCAATCAAATTATAATCTACCGGTAATTATATTACTGGTAAAAGTTTATACAATTTTCATCAAAAATTTGACATTTCTTTCTCATATCTCAGTTTTTGAAAACTAGTTCATCAACAATATTGTTTACATTGCAGCAGTCAAATTATAGTTAATAAATTCAAATTTAAAAAAAAATGACCAGTGTCTACCAGCTGCTCCTTCAATGTCTGTTACTATGGATATATCATCAATGTATGCTTTTGGTGTGGTATACAGCTTAACTGGTCGCTGAATCCCTGCATAGTTAAAGAAATCCATCTGTAGGTTCTGTACAAAGTAACCAGCAGGATACCTAAAGTGAAAATCATTTGATATCAGAAAACATAAGATGGTGCAAAAATATTGGTCACATACACTGTAAGACAAGTTGCTCATGTATAATGGTCACTTAGGTGGCCTTTATATAGAAGTGTTCACAAGCACAGGTTTGGCAAGGGTTTTTAAGTAGCGAAAAATAAAATAAATCCCACCTATTTTTGAGAAATCAAACAATTTATTTTATGCAAATGAGCTCAAAATACTATGCAAATTTCGCAAATTAAAATCCCAACCAACCTACCAAGTATTATATGTACCATACCAGAAACATTGAGGCCTAAACATGCATTATGTGCATCACAAAAACTCATTCCTCTAATACAATGATACTGTCCAGTTAAATTTATGCAAACATACATGTATGGCAAGTGTAAACTCTGTGACCACTAGATTTCATTTCCAGAATAAAGACTACACTGTCATCAGACTATCAGACTTTTACAGGTCATGTGACTGCTGTGCTAACACAACATTCATAAATTTACCAAACTGCCTCAAAAACAAATGTCATCTTGTGTCATTGCAATGAACATTGATATGGATAATAAGTGTATGCTCAGTACAATGTACAAGCACTAATGTTCATGATACATGTATGGTCTGAAATGTAATGCAAAACATCATCACATTTACAATTTTATGTTCATGGGTGTACACTTTTTAGCAAAACATTGGATTGACTGACTTGTGTGAAAGCTGTACAAGAGGAATTCCCCACACAATCTAATGGTGATATTTTCCAATAAAGATAACTTACTTATTTCTATCTGTTTTATATTCAATAGTTCCTGGAGGTAATGAATGTGGAGACAATGTATTATTCACAGCTACTGTTAGTCTGTTAGATTTGCCATATAATACAATATCAGTGATTTCACTTTCAAATGGTAAATGACCACCATCATGCATCATTATTTCCACTCCATTCAGCCACTGAATAACAAAATACAGTATTACAATTACGAGCCCCCCTTATGTCTCAATGACCGCTCCTTCTAAGAGAGGAGGGCACTTGGCTGGAATTTTAATTTATAAAAAAAATTGTTTTGACAGTTTTGAACCAAACACATGAAACGCACAGAGACATTCAAGTCAAATAAGAAAAATTAAGCTTCAATCAACCAATCAAAAAGGGAAGAATTGAATTCCTGGAATGAAGTAAGCTTCAATCAACCAATTAATCAAAAAGAGAAGAATTGAATTCCTTGAATGAAGTAAGCTTCAATCAACCAATCAAAAAAAGAAGAATTGAATTCCTGCAACGTCCTACTTGAGGGCACCTATAGTTATCTAGTGGGCATATACAACTTAATTGGGGGTCTGGGGTGAGGGTTAGAGTTTGGGTAAGGGGTGGGGTACAATGGAAATACTTTCCAAGTTAAGTTTGCATTCCAAGATATTCTGTGCATAATACCTTTATCTATCTACCACGGATGTGGTTTTTACATGATTATTTACCAATTATATGAATTTTTAATTTCATATACGACTTATAGGATTAACTAATTTATTCATTTGTTTGAACCTGTGTGATTGGCTGCCATTTGCAGTTCAAAGGTTATACAAATTCAAATCTGTTCATGGCTGAGGGTGAACTGTTTAGCAGTCACTGTAGGTATATATAACACTAACACATGATGAAAGGTCTGGGAACATATTGTATGAAAGCAATCATAGTAACAATGATAACACTCATACTTACTACTATTGTATAATAATGTGCACTTTCAAATCTCACTACAACTCGCTGATTCGTGTTCTGCCAAGTATATGGAGGATAGAATTCCCTGTCGTACCATACCCAGCCAACAAAATCTCTTAATAACTTGTCTTGGGTAATGTCATTAAAACTTGATGGCACTGGCATATCTATAACAGGACCAGTCTATTTGAAAGAAATAGACAGCAGTTATTTTACAAATTATCAAATTTATTACTGAATTACATCACAGTCACTCTACTAGGACTAGTAGAGTGACTGTGATTAAATGTACACCAACTGAATGTTATAAACAGTCCTGATCAATAAAATTGTTGTGAATGGCTATTTCTGGTAGGAATTCAGATTATTATGTGATTAAAGTGGTACATGTCTTTGGTTGTTATAATTTAGCAAGTGATTATCACTGCGATGTAGAATACTAATGTTATGAGATCAAGAAACCATGTTCTAATGCAATGTATGTGTTGCAATAAACAAATCCACAAAATATGATGAGAGGATTTCTTATGTTGATCATATTTCCATTATGTTGAATGCATTCACTAAGTTTGAACAAAAACCATCCATCTGGTTTTCGGATGCAGAAATGTTCAATTTTGATGAATTTTTAACATTAAAATGGTCACCATTCGATCATCTTGAATCTGATGGTCAAATAAATCAATGTACATATGTGTGACAAGATAAATGATGTATATATCAAATTTGAACATGATCAGTCAAGGCATGTCAAAGATACAGATCTTGAACAACCAGTTGGTCATTTAAAATCTGATCTGCAAAAAAAAATAATGTGCATCAAAGTCGTCATCAGAGCCCAACGTGTTCAGCTCGAGCCAGTTTACATACAACTATGAAAATACAAAATATGCATTTTTTACGACCTCGGTGTTCAAAGATATGATGATACCATGGAACTAAAAATAGATTCTTAGCTCCATAAATATTAAAACAAAATTTTAATCTTTTAAAATACTATTGTTGAGTGTCTGGTCTTCATTTTTGTACAGGAGAATCAATTTTTACTATTATTAGCTTGCTTACAACACTACACACACCCTGATAGGGTGGTCATATACTGTTTCTATGTTACATCTTCAGCTGGGTTCCGCCCACCTTTGATAGTGCCTGTTTCTGCCACTGATGTTCAAATCCAGCATTTCTCTTTGACGACATATCAGCACGGAAATTCCACATCCCACTCAGGTCTTTGCTTTCTCTTGATTCCGATTCCCTTGGGTAAAGCATTCCTCCCTGTATTGCGCCATCAGAAACTTGAACCAAGAGGAAAGTCACAGAGAATACGACGACGGTACGACAATTTAAGAACACCGCCATTGTATCTAAGTGTCAAAGTGCAAGCAGACGTCACCATTTATCAAAGGGGTGCGAAGATGATTATTGCTGTAATCATCGACGTTATGTTTTACTTAATAATTGAATTGGATAGTAATACAATAGAAATAAATACATTGAACTGTTTTTGTTTTGTTTTTCAATTTAATAGGAATCAAATTTTTGCGATACATGGTGAGTGTTCACATCGCTTACTAAATATAGTTTCTTCCACTGAAGTTACGCTTCCGCTTTCAAAACGAGGCTAAGTGCACATGTGTTGTAAGAGTTTCTCCGAGTCGACAACATGGGTAGAGAAAAAAAGAAGGTAAAGGCGTTTTTTTTTTGGTAATCTGTGTGATATAATCGAGTTATTGTATTTGTAAGATCACGGGCTCTGCTTGTGATTGTTTTTGTCTGAAGCCATACAGCGGGTTTAGTGTTGTTTCCGACAAATAGTCGTCAATGAAAACGTTCAAGGTCGATAATGAACCTGGACCCAAAATTTAAATGGAAAAAACATTGGTGTCAGTGCTAAAATGGTCCTCACTATATCATGATTTATTCTGCAGTACCAGAGTGGTTCAGCCACGGCATTCATCACAAGAAATCAGGCCATCAGAAGATTACAACTGTCGCTGGCAGATTTCAGGTAAAAAAACAAATAAGTAAAAGAGCACCCCATCACGTCTCGACAGATTCTATTTCCATGGAAGTACATGTACAGTATTGGGGTAGCCCTGAATCCAAAGTGTTGACAGAGTGGCCATTATTTTTCATTCAATTGTCGACTGCCCATCGCAATGGGTCTTACGATAGCAAAATTAGAGATTGAGTGGTATTATAAAAATACTAAACCTTACTATCCTACTAAATTATCCTCTGTGTTGGATATACCACAGTCCCTCTATAGGGATATACCATGGAAGGTACTAACGGAAGGAGCCACGACGCTATTGTTTTAGCTTTACCCCATGATAGTTTGTCAATGTTTGTTCACAAACATTGGTTCTCGTTAGCTCTTAGCACCTTCGTACAATGGGTTACGCTAATCTCAAGCATTCGGTAATATTCGAAGCATGCTCGGAAGCAATAGACGAACCTCGCATGTACAATACTGAAAATGCTGTCTAGTTTGAATGCTGTTGTTTGCGGAGTATTTGGCAAACTTTAATGAAAAATTGGCAGATATAACATCGATTGAGGAAGAACTGATGAACTATCGTGAATTCATTTGTATTTGTAATGGTGATGAGACTTAATCAACGATTGCCTGTGATAATAACGACTGCATTATTCATGGTACCATTGTCATTGCGTACTAATACGTCCATGGTTTGATGCCCGAAACTATTAAATTTTTTGACCACCAGGCATCGGCGAACACCACCAAAAAATATAGTATCGAAAGAAGGGCATGCCTAGACACATTCTCTGTGACAATATTTTTTAGGAGTCCTTAGGAATTTTTGTTGTAGACACTCAAAACCTTGTTCTTGCTACAGTTGTTTATAATTAAAACATGTGAAATCCGTGAAGTCAAACGTTGATGTGTTGAATTTCCGGCTGTGAAATACGTATTTTGACTTTTCACACCTAAACAAACAGAGTGCGCATGTGTGATGACCGTAGTTTCATAATGCGCATACATTTATGTCATATTCCGCTAAATTATTACTTGTGTAAACAATTGCAAACTATCATCGACATCAAAGATGAACTAGACAATGAAAATAAGCCTGTTAAGAAGCTTAAGTGGCAACCTGAGAGACATTCACTTCCGGCATGGCTCAATTTTGTTGTGTTCGAACATCTTCAAAACATCAATTTTTTTCTTTAAAATCGTTGACAGTGTACTGGCTTTAACATCAAATTTTCAACAGACATCGCCATGACGAATGCCCGACTCAATTGCTTTGATCATTTGGATTTTACAGTCCAACAACAAGGCACGTCGTTTGACACGAGTTGTTGACATTTTGAAGTCAGGACGGAAACTGGCATCTCACTCGTAGTCGCCGTAATTTATCTAAAATTTACAACATCCATGCTTCACACTTTTTTATTGTGAATCTTAAAATTAAAAACTCAAGCAGCAAGGCGTCGAAAGTGACTAGACACTAGAAGTCACGTACACAAAAGATTATCACGCCAAGTCAATGGCTACATTGTTTTTATTTTACGCAGCACAGTTCAAGCCCACTTCCAACAGCGGTTCGTTTTAGGATTTTGCAGCTGCTTGAGTGAATGAAATGTTCACTATAGGTGTTACTGACCATTGTTTTTCAGAGAAAATCCATTTGTACTAAGCGGGTTTTCGTAATAAACTAGTTCGTTCTAAGCGTTGTCAATTACCATAGGGATAATGGATTTTCAAACGGGACTTTCTAGTTCGTTCGTTGTAACCGGTATTTCGTTGTAACCGAGTTCGTACTGACGAGTTTTGACTGTATCTTAAATTTGATAACTAACAGGGACTGTGCCATGCATGGCTTGTTTTATTTTAATGAGGCGTTGTTACCATGGAGTACAGTTGTCGTTGAGTCATAATCAGCGCGACTAAAAATATTACAACTGCCTCAGCACAAAGACGGTTGTGTAATGAAAGGGAATGTAAAAGGAAATGTACCTGTAGTATTACAATATACATTTATGTGCATTAAGGTAGAAGCCTACCGGTACTCATAATTTTTGAGAATGTTGGTCATAAATCAAAGACAATGTTTATTGGTTTTTGTGTAAAACCGTTAAGCTATTGTCCCATGGCACCATGGAATAACAATCTGTGGTGAAACTTGTCCTAATAATTTTTTGCAAATTTTGCGAAAATAGTAGTTACTGCTAGTTAGAATTACCAGACACGCAATGGAGACATAATTTGGATATCGAAATATGAAGAATAAACAGCCAGTGACATTTCCAGAGATATACATATAGTTGGAATTGAAGCAAAAGGGTGGCCTATTAATCCATGAAACATAGTCGCATATATCAGTACATATCATCCTGTCTTATTGTGTGTGTGGCAAAGCTGTCATGTACACAATCATAATAACTGGAAATTGGTTCAGAACGGAAAACTGTTTTGTTACAGTAAATGATTATGAACAATAAAAATTAAATTTAGAAATTATGAATAATAAATAATGAAACGTGGGAACCACACCTAATATTGTAATAGTCTGCAACAGGAGTTTTAAAAATGCTGTCCATTCTATTTACCGGATTATACCCAATGATGTATCTTCACCTCTGGACGCTTTCAAAAACAATGTCTCTACAAGTGTTGTATAAACCTGAATGAAAAATCTGGAGTCGAGGCAAATACTTCTAAAAACCTCTTCAGCCAGCCCAGGCCAATCATAATGTGCAGGGTAATTACTGTGGCCAATGATATTGAATTTTTATGAAGCAGAGGTTTTCATCTTCAAATAAGTAATCAGAAATACCCTTGATACCCTTGAGAAGTATGTCCATTACTTCACAAGAATGACTGTCCCAAGGGATTTTCAGTTTCTCAAAATAATCAACCCAAGGTTGTTTTGTTTACAAGAAGGAAATGTTTTTTGACAGCATTTCTTGTATTAATTTCCATTGCACAAAAAAGCAGCAAATACTGTTACTGATATACAGAATTTGATTGTATCCACACCGCCACGCCCACCACACCCCACCCCTGGCCATTCATGCAAACTGCAAATTTAAGGTGCAATTTCTCAGAGTAGCGGCATAAATAACAGAGTAGCGGCCCTGCTGCGCTAAAACGCTTTGGGGAGAACACTGCTATTGTATTAACACTTTCGACCTCTATGGTTTATGGATCCAAGCTCTTTTCTCGTCTGCCTCTCAGCCCCTTTCTAAAAGTGCGCTGTGCACTTTGCATCCGCCCTTTGTGTTTTTCCCATTACATACATCTTCTTTCCTCTAAACGGTAATTAGCAGTGCACTCTGGACAGCAGATTTACTAGGAATGACTAATTTAAGCGTAGTTACCTTGATATACTAGAACAAGTGATAACAATTTCACACTCACAAATTGCAGAAAAGAGGAACTTTAATAAAAAACCAGCATCAAATGGGGCTTCAGAGTACCCCAGACTAAGGCGGAGCTGCCTAACAAAGTTAAATTTACGACGGTGCTATAACTGCATAAATGTTACGTGTGAATCAGGTAATAGTCAATCATAACCTTATGCTCTTGTTTGATGGATCAAGAGGCGAGTTTGTTCTTTTTATCAATCAATGTATCAAATCATGAGAGTCTCCATCATGTCTTGTGGTCATTCTTGGCAGCTGGCAACTTTTTCAAATTGAGATATAAAAGTCTTTAAAATCTTTTATGATTGAATCAGCAAAATCCTCCAGTCTGACCACTATGTAAGCATATTGGAACTGAGCACGGGCTGACATTGTCGTAAATCTGTACATCTGTCCATATACCGTATTACCCCGGGCACGCGCCCCTCCCTGGGCAAGCGCCCATCCCCCTGTTTTCACAAAAGGGATGTTGGGGACATCCTCAGTTAAACGCCCAGGGTGATTTTTAGCCAAGAACGGGGTCAACAATAAAGTTTTATTTGTCAAAAACGAACGCGTTTGATTTATTTAAATAGTGTGTTTGTTACGGTAGTTCTCGTTTTGGAGTGTGTGGTGGCCCTGAAAAGAGCCGTTTTGTTTGTGTTTTTACGTAAAAACTCATTGGAACTTAACGACATAAGATGACCACTCAGCATGGGGTGCACATGTTCTGCTTTCTCTTCATTCACGATGAATCCAATATTGCAATAATCCATACCTTGGTGAGTGGATTTGAAGCACTTAGCTTT